GATATTTCTGAACTTAAAGGCTCAATTATCTCAAATGGTGCCAGGTAATGAGATACCTATGAAAGAGGAATACTTTCTAAAACATCAACATTTTGTGATTTGATAAAAGTTTCCATTTATAATTTACATTCCCTCCTATAGTCTTTTTTTTTTTTTTTGGGAGAGATTTTTCGCTATAGGGCACGTGTGCTCGCCAGACAGAGAGAGACATTAGAGACAGAAAGCGAGAAATCACCCCCTGGGGGGATGGTCACGCCACAATCCCCTCTCCTCCATTCTCCTCTCGGGATCTTGGGCACGCACACACACGCACCCGACGTGAGTTTTAAGCCACCAGGTCTGGGATGTGAACTGCGGTCGACTACGTGGGAGTCCAGCGACATAGCCATTACACTAACTGCTGGTTCCCTTCCCTCCTATAGTCTTGAGCATTATAATTTAATTACTTTTTTCATTATCTGGCTCTCCAACCTCCCCTAAGTGGATCCTTATCTTTTATACCCTGCTGGCATACCCTGAACCTAGGAGGAGCCATACACTGCAAATCCACAATAAATTAGTGATGAAAAAATAATGTTAACACTAAAAAAACCCTTAAGGGAACCAGCAGTTAGCGTAATGGCTATGTTGCTGGACTCCCACGTAGTCGACCGCAGTTCACATCCCAGACCTGGTGGCTTAAAATGCCAGGCGCGTGTGCATGCGTGTCCAAGATCCCAAGAGGAGAATGGAGGAGAAGGGATTGTGGCGTGACCATCCCCCCTGGGGGGTGATTTCTCGCTTTCTATCTCTCTGTCTTTCTCTGTCTGTCTGGCGAGCACACGTGCCCTATAGCAAAACAGACAAACAAACAAACAAAAAACAAAAAACCTCTCCAAAAAATAAAATGAAATAAAAAATCCTTAAAATTCAGCAAAACTATAGAAACATTATTTAGATATGACTAATTAAAATTATTCTCACCATATATATATATATTGGAAGTTTTTGCTATAGGGCACGTGCACTCACCAGACAGACAGAGAAAGACAGAGAGATAGAAAGCGAGAAATCACCCCCCAGGGGGGATGGCCACGCTGCAATCCCTTCTCCATTCTCCTCTCGGGATCTTAGGCACGCACGCACACACGCCCGGTATGAGTTTAAGCCACCGTGTCTGGGACGCGAACTGTAGTCGACTACGTGGGAGTCCAGCAACATAGCCATTACGCTAATTGCTCGTCCCATCACAATATATTTCTAATGAACCTCTACTCGATGGTGGAAAGTTAAATAGGACAGTGATTATAGCAGTAACTTAAGCTACATTTGTAAAGGAAATGAGACCTGACTCATGTCTCTGGATGTATTGTTAAATTTCCTTCTTTAAATTTTATCCTGATTCCCAGGACAGTTTTCTCATTGTTTTAAGTGGTGGCGTCATACTGATTTCTATCATGTGTCATTTGTGTAGGTCGTGCAAGGCTTGAGTTGATGTGAGGCTCAGGACTGAGTGTGGAGCTGAAACCTGAGTCCTGATTCCCATCTCTAAGCTTTCTGAAAGGAGAAGAGAGGAAGATATGATAAAATATGATGTTCCTAACATTGAAGGATAAAAGAAAAAGAGAAATAATTTGTTTCATTATTTAAAAGTTTGAGATGGAAACATTTAGCATTGCTGAGGTAGCAAAGAACTTAGCACAGGGTACAATATAACTGTGTTAGACCCACTAAGTACTTCTGGCTCTTCCTATCGTCTGACTTAATGAGCTGGCCTGTACCAGCCAGATAAAGATAATTCACTGAATTATCTGCCAGCTAGCTTAAGCTAATATCCATCAGGAGGAATTGGTGTCTCACAAGTTCATTTACTTAGGTTCTATTGGTTCATTATTGTGAAAGATGATCCTGTTTTAGCTTAAGTGAAATCCTGTTCTTTGCTGAGAAACATTCCTTGAAAATACTGTCTCTACTAGCAAGGTCAGGCTCATCTTCTGGCATCCAAGTGTGATGTAAAATTGACTTTTGTCCTTCTGGAAAAACGCTCTAAAGTCACCTCATCTTATTCATGCAAGCAAAAGTCAGCATAAGGTGTGCTGTGATGTGCTGGATGCTTTGAGGACCAGGAACTCACAGATGCCATGAAGTCTGCTGATTTAAGAAATGATGTGCTACTGACTGCCCGAAAGTCTGTTGTATGCTATGTGCATGCCTAACTACATCCATTTTCTTTTTTTTAACAGATGTTCTCTTAAGTAATTTCAAATAGAATAGTATTTATACCATGCTATTTCTTTAAACTTTATTATAAAGAATTAAGGGTCCATGGTACCAACAGATGTTCTCTTAAGTAATTTCAAATAGAATAGTATTTATACCATGCTATTTCTTTAAACTTTATTAAAGAATTAAGGGTCCATGGTGCCAGCAGGTGGTGTGGTGGTTAAGGAGCTCGACACTCCCACATGGCTGACTATGGTTTGAGTTTTGTACCTAATGGCTTGCTTTCTTACTTGCCCTCTCTCTCTGTGTGTGTGTCTCTGTCTCTCTCTGATCAAATTAAAATAAATGAATGGGGACCAGCAGTTGGCATAATGGCTATGTTGCTGGACTCCCATGTAGTCGACCATGGTTCGAGTCCTGGACCCGGGGCTTAAACTCACGCTGGGCGCGTGTGCATGCATGCCCAAGATCCCAAGAGGAGAATGGAGGAGAAAGGATTGCAGCGTGGCCACCCCCCTGGGGGGTGTGACTTGAGGATTTCTGTCTCTCTGTCTCTCTCTTTCTGGCGAGCGCACACACCCTATAGCAAAAACCTCTCCAAAAATAAATAAAAGAATGAATAAATAAAATTAAATAACTTAAAAAAAAAAAAGAAGGGCATTATTGACCCCAAAAGAGGTACTATAGGCTTTGTCCTGGTCCCTGTGGTTAGTTGGAAGTCCTGGTACATATGAAAGCTGGCAGTAAAAGGCTTCTGCTGGATTATTGGAGAAAGCAGGGAAAGGCCATGATGCTGGGTCAGAATGAATGAGTGAAAGGTATGGGGAATTTTCTAAGTCCCTTTCCATCTGTGTCTTATGAAACTGTACTCCTGCTTTGGTGACACAATGACCTTACCCAAATCACTGCTTCACTTTAGGGAGAAGTCAGCCACCAGTTTACCCTCAACAATAGACAAGGATTTCCTGATAAACAGGATAGTTGCTCTCTCATGTCCCTGATGGGTAGTCAGGGGGCAGAAAACCATAGATCTTCATAGGGAATTACACTTGGTGTGACACATTTCATCCCACATTTTCATATATGCTCTACAGAGCTCATCTGGCATTCTTTCTATGCTTTAAAAAGGATTATTTATAATTTTATCACCATTATTTATTTATTTTTTAAATTTGCTACAAGGCACATGTGCTCCTGAGAAAGAGAGAAACAGATTGAGAGAGAATACAAGCCTCCTGGTCTAGAACTCAAACTGTGGTTGGCCACGTGGGAGTCTAGCACCCCAAACCACCATATCACCTGTTGGTCCTCATTTGACATTCTTAACTAGAAGAATTGCCCAGGAGGTGAAGTAAATAGTGACCAATGGCTCCATATTCCTGCAATCATCTTATTAATAACAAACACTGGAGATCTGTCTGCATGAAGACAGAATTCTAGTACCTATAGCTTTGGGTGCTAACAAATGTCCTGTGGTGTTCTAACATCTAAAAGTAACACAAAACAAATAAATACATACATGCTTTATTCATTTCCAGCTGTGCTGGTTTGATTATAGCATCTAAAATAACTGAGTTCTGATTCCGGAATAGTGAGTGCAGAGACTTAAAAATTTGTAGTCACAGCCACTTCAAAAGTAACTGGCCATGAAGTGATCATCTTCAGCGTGGTTTAAATAAAATGATGGCGAGGTATTCCTGGAAGTCTGTCTTTCAGATCCCAGGTATCTAGAGCTTGTCCATGAGCCGACCGCATGGTGCTTGTGCTGCCTCATGCTTTGCCCAGTGAATCAGCCTGCTGATCAGGCAATGCACTGGCAGGAAAGGTCAGACGCCCAACCTCATCTGGACTCCTCAGTGCATACCACTCATTGGTCATGGTCTGTGGCCCCTGCCTCACTCAGCCTTCTCTGAAGTGCCTGGCCTAGTCTCACAGGGAACCAGGGTCACTTCCTGAAAGAGTCCACACAAATCCATCACCATTACTGAAAATGTCACTGAAAGGTCAGGCTCTATAGAGAGGGGTTAGCTAGCATCATCTTTAACCATGAAGGACAATTTAATCTACGACATGAAAGTTCATCTATCCGATGAACTGGTTTTGTCCTCAGGTGGGTCTCTTTGGAATACTCCTAGTTTATGGTTTCTCAGCCCTTATAGGTAACTCCTCCTTTGCCTAAGGGCTGGTCAGAAAAGACTGAGGAGCCCATGGCCAAAGTACCTGGGAATGTGCTGAAGATAATTCAGGAAGAGGCATTTCAAGAGTGTGTGTGTACAGGGATTTTACATTCACTTGTCCAGAGCTGCTATGTCCACCGTGCTCAGAAGTGGAACTGTTTGTCCACAGGTTGATAAGGGCATGCTCCTGTCCCTCATATTCTACACATTCTAGCCCACAGCAAGCTGGAGCACTGGGAAACAGACACATCACTTCAGGAGAACTTCCTTCCTCCGTGCCTTGAAAGCAGTGTGTGCTGAGATATCCAGAGGTGCTTTTTTTAAGTAAAGCTTAATCTCACAAGTGCAAGATTAAGGAACTCACCTGACAGGAGTTTATGGTTTTATTTCTGGTTCAGTCACATACAGTTAACCACTGATGTTAATTTAACGAAGTTCCATTTTTAAAAATTAAAAGCAGGTTTGTATATTTGGCTCTCAAAACCTTACTAGCATACTTATTTTTAGTTGGAATACACTGTATTCAAAACATACAACAGGCAGCGCATAAGCTCCTGGAAGTCACCATGCAGTCAGCGGAGAAAAGGGCTGAAGCCATTTGTTTCCTGGGACAGCAAAGACAAGCATACAAGTCCCTTACAGTGGGCAAGAGGAGAAACAATGTAATTTACATACCAGCTTTTCAAAATTGACGAGATTATCCAAAAAAGTTTTATTCCCTTCATGAATAAATGTTACATCTGAAATTTAAAAACAAAAAAACAAAAAGATAAAACATTAGCAATGGAACATGAGTTGGAGCTGAAAAGGTCTAGATACAACACATTTTCATTTTTCTTAAACATTATGGATCATTATGGATCATAGCAAGGCACACTGAAATGGAACTATGATAATATTTTATGAGAAAGTGCATAATTTATGAGTGAGGGTAAAACATGATAGTCTTACAAAAAGCATTCTATAATTTAATTGGTCCTTTATGTTTTTAGACCAGAGCAATGAGCAGACAAGAACTGAAGACCCAGAAACAACAGGATTTTAATATTTTTGTGTTGGCTTTAAAAAAACCTTGGGTGGTTACATAACTGGACTCCCATATAGTCAACCACAGTTCAAGTCCTGGACCCGGTGACTTAAACTTATGTTGTTGGGCAAATGTGTGTGCATGCCCAAAATCCCGAGAGGAGACTGGAGGAGAAGGGATTGTGGTGTGGCCATCCCTTCTAGGGGGTGATTTCTTGCTTTCTGTCTCTCTGTCTCTCTCTGTATCGCCAGTGACTGCATGAGCCCTATAGCAAGAATCTCTAAAAAAAAAACAAAAGAAGAAGAAAGTCAAGACCAGTGAATGGTGGGATGGTTATGCTGCTAGACTCCCAAATAGTTTACTGTGGGTTGAGTCCCAGACCCAGCAGCATAAACCTCAGGCCTGTCGCATGTGCATGTGAGCCCAAAATCCCAAGAGGAGAATGGAGGAGAAGAGACTTTGGCATGACTATCCCCCCCGGGGGGTGATTTCTCACTTTCTGTCTCTGTCTCTCTCTGGCAAGCACATGCCCTATGGCAAAAATATCTTAAAAAAAAAAAATCCTTGGTAAAGTATATGGAAACTGCTTTGCTTAAAACAGTGAAGATTTAGATTTAGATGTTTAAATTTAAATCTTTGATTCCCAAAGCCAGCGCCTCCTTGTGTGAAGAAAGGGGCTGGTTTGAAAATGGCAGATCTCCAGCCCCATTTGACCAGGAGCAGGAAAGCATCACTGATGAAAAGAAAATAAGAAAAAATGAGATGAAGGTATATTTTCAGAGGAAGGAAAAAATTAAATTTGATTTGAGACTCACACATGTAAAGTGACCAGAAATATTCATTAAAAATTCAGTTTGGCATATCAGCCAGTAGTGGTGGTGGTGAAGGTGACAGGATTGCATGTGGCTGACTGCATGATTCAATCCTGGACACCAGCCTATGTGAGTGCATGTCAAAATGAGATGAAGGTATATTTTCAGAGGAAGGAAAAAATTAAATTTGATTTGAGACTCACACATGTAAAGTGACCAGAAATATTCATTAAAAATTCAGTTTGGCATATCAGCCAGTAGTGGTGGTGGTGAAGGTGACAGGATTGCATGTGGCTGACTGCATGATTCAATCCTGGACACCAGCCTATGTGAGTGCATGTCCAAAATTCGAGAGGAGAATGGAGAAGGAATTATGGCATGGCCAACACCTTGGGAGGGTGCTTTCTCACCCCCCCCCCCCCCCTTCTCTTTTCTTTGTGG